GCTGCTCAGTGCGTGGCGCTGCTGGGGTCTCCAGTTGAGGCCGTGCGAGCTGCTGCTGTTGCGCTGCTGCGGCAGCTGAGGAAGCTTGTTGCTGCTGCTGATCTACGCAGCAGCAGCAGCAGCAGCAAGGATGCAGCAGCAGCAGCACAAGAGGCGCTTCAGCTGCTGCTGTCCCTTCACTTGGTGTCTCCTGAGTGGCTCAACTGCAGCAACAGCGAGGACGTGCAAGAGGTAAGCAGCAGCAGCAGCAGCAGCAGCAGCAGCAGCAATTGTGGCGTGCAGTTTGGGGTGCTGCTGCTGCTGCATGCGATCGACCGCGTTGCTGCTGTTTGTGTTTGGGGTGTATGTGCAGCTGTTCATCAACGCCAAGCAGAGTTTTGTTGCATTTGCTGCTGAGGTGCTGCGCTCGCCGCTGCTACCAGTGAAGCCGTTGCAGCTGCTGCAGCAGCAGCAGCAGCAACAGCAACAGCCTTCGCGTGCAGCAGCGGCATACTTTGTGTTGCTGCTGCTGCTGCTGCCCCGGCCGCAGCAGCAGGTAGTTCTCCCGCTGCAGCGCCTCTGGACCCCGGAGACGCTGCTGAAGCTGCTGTTGCCACTGGCGACCGACTTGCTGCTGCGGATACTCTCCAGCAGCAGCAGCAGCAGCAGCAGCAGCAGCAACAGCAGCAGCAACAGCAGCAGCGGTCCGAGGACGCCTCGCACGCGAGCGCGAGGCCGCCTGGCGGGCTCCCAGGCCATAGAGACTTCAGCAGCAGCAGCAACAGCAGCANCACGCGAGCGCGAGGCCGCCTGGCGGGCTCCCAGGCCATAGAGACTTCAGCAGCAGCAGCAACAGCAGCACCTGCATCAGCAGCAGCAGGGGCAGCAGCAGCAGCTGTTGCATCAGCAGCAGATCCTAAGGACTACGCGCTGCTGCAGCTGACGTGGCAGCAGCTGCAGCTGCTTGCTGCAGCTGAATTCAACGCAGAGCAGCAGCGGCCCGCGGCAGGGCTCTGCAGCAAACTGATGGAGTCTCTTGCCCCTGCTGTTGCTGCTGCTGTGGAGCAGCAGCACGCAGCAGCAGCAGCAGCAGCAGCTGCAGCTGAGGGCGCTAAACAGCCGCAACTGCCCCCGCCTGTGCTGGAAGCTGTTGGCGAGTTGCTGCAGCTGCTTCAGCAGCAGCAGCTGCGGTTCACACCGAAGCAGCGGCTGACGCTGCTGCTGCAGCTGTCTTCTGCAGCAGCGAAATGCCCGGGTCTTGCTGCAGTGCTGCGCAGCAAAGCTGTTACTGCTGCAGCAGAAGCAGCTCCGCTGCCGCCGCAGCAGCTGCAGCAGCTTGCTGATGAGATCGGGGTGGTGAGAGGTGACACAGCAGCAGCAGCAGCAGCTGCAACAGCAGCAGCAGCCACTCCGCGCCGCAGCAGCAAGCGACTGGCTGCTGCAGAGACGCAGAAAGAGTTGAAAGACAACAGCTCCAGCAGCAGCANCGCAGCAGCAAGCGACTGGCTGCTGCAGAGACGCAGAAAGAGTTGAAAGACAACAGCTCCAGCAGCAGCAGCAGCAGCAGCAGTGGGGGCAGCGGCAGCTGCTGCTGCAGCGGGACGGATGTCATTTTGTCTGACTTGCTTGGAGATCTGCTGCTGCAGCAGCAGCGGCGCCTCACACTGCTGCAGCAGCAAAGCTACGCGTCGCTGCTGCAGCTCCTGCAGCACATCTTTGCTGCACTACAGCGCGTGCAAGCAGCAGCAGCAGCAGCAGCAGCAGCAGCAGCAGCAACAGCAGATGTAGATGCTGCAGACCGTGGCCGCTTCGTCATTGCGCAGCTCTTCGTCTGCTGCAGCAGCCAATTCGCAGCACTCAGGACTCTGGTGTTGCTGCACAACAGCAGCAGCAGCAGCAGCAGCAGCAGAAGCAGCAGCGCCTCAACCAAGGAGAAGCAGCAGCTGCAGCAGGTTATGTTGCTGCTGCAGGAGCGCTGCAGAGCCCTTGCTGAGCATCACCAGCAGCTGTTGGATGCTGCAACGCTTGCTGCTGCTCTCCGCTGCTGCGCTGCAGCAGCAGACTTAATAAAGGCCCTGCAGCAGCAGCAGCAGGGCGAGCATCTGCTGCACCTGCGGCAGCTGCTGCTGGAATTCCTCTGCAGCAGTTGCAGCAGCAACCCGTTCTTGCTGCTGCAGCGGCCAGCCTTGAGCTCTGTCTGCGCGGTGCTGCACACCGTAGCTGTCATCGAGCAGCAGCAGCAGCAACAGCAGCAGCAGCAGCAGCAGCAGGATGATGATGAGGTGGAAGGGGATCAGCAGGAAGACGGCAGCAACGGAGGCACCGGCGCATTTGCTGCTGAAGTCGCTGTCTGCTGCTTGGCGCCTGTTGCTGCTGCTGCGTTTGCCTCGCCGCTGCAGCAGACGCTGCAGCAGAAGCAGAATGCAGCAGCAGCACGGCAGCAGCTGCTGCCGATTGCAAGCGCCTTGACACAAGCAGCAGGCACCTCAGCTCTCGATGGCTGCGTTGCTGCGCTTCTGCTGCAGTGGGAGTGTGCTGCTGCAGCACGGAAGAGGGAGGCGCGTCAGCAGCAGCAGCAGCAACAGCAGCAGCAGCAGCAGCAGCAGCCGCAGGACGACGAAGCGGAAGCAGTAGCAGAGGAGGCAGAAGGCAGCAGCAGCAGAAGCAGCAGCAGCAGCAGCAGCACGGAGTGGGAGACGAGGCAAGACGCATTCAGAAGCGTGCTGCAGCTGCTGCTTCAGCATCAACAGCTGCAGCAGCTGCTGCAGCAGCAGCAGCAGAAGCAGCAGCAGCAATCCACTATGTTGGAGCACCGAGTGGCGAATCTGTACGGCTTTGCACTGCTGCTGCAGTGTCAGTGCGACGCCCTTGCTGCTGCNAGCACCGAGTGGCGAATCTGTACGGCTTTGCACTGCTGCTGCAGTGTCAGTGCGACGCCCTTGCTGCTGCCAACGGCCTGCTGCAGCGCAGCAGACACATGCTGAGGTGTACGTACACCCCATGCCACACGTTGTGGGTATCTGAGCTGCGGTCTGCAGCAGCAAAACCAGCAGCAGCAGCAGCAGCGGTTGCTGCGGCTGCTGCAACCGCAGCGCGGGCAGCAATCAGCTGTGTTGCAGTGGGGGTCGAGGCGTGGAGACACAGCAGCAGCGGCAGCAGCAGCAGCAAAGACAGCTTTGCTGCTTCGCTGGAGTCGCGTGGTGCAGCAGCAGCAGCAGTACATTCGTTGCTGGCTCTGAGGGTGAGTCAAGCGTCGCTTCAGCAGCAACTG